GACAGGTGGTGAGCGTGGACTCCAGGCGACGCTGTGGCCCTGGTGGGAAGTGGACCAGGTGGCAGAGGGTGACCTGGCCCCAGATGCCCAGTGGCCAGCTCTTGCTGTGCTCTTTGAAGCACTTGCCACCGTCATTTCATTTCTTTTGTGCTTGCTTTACCCTTGTATCCCACACCCAAACTTCAAACCCATGAGAACGGAGGCCAGCGTGACTCGCTTGCTACCATTTTCCCAAGGAGCTCTGATGACATCATGGGTTACCCATTGAGCTGCTAAGCAGAAAGTCAGCAGTTCAAATCCACCAGCTGCTCCTTGGGAGAACGATGTGGCTTTCTACTCCTGCAAAGAGTGACAGTCTCAGAAGCCCACAGGGGCAGCTCTACCCTGTCCTACAGGGTCGCCATGAGTTGGCATGGACTCGATGGCAGTGAGTCTCATCTCAAGTGTAAGGCAGGGCATACACGAAACCAAGCCCACCACCCTGAAGCCGCTTCTGAGTAACAGCAACCTCCTAGGCTTTCCACGGATGTGAACTTTACACAAACAGCCATGTAAACTTTACACAAACAGACATGTAAACTTTAAACAGACGGTCCCATCTTCTTCTCGGGGAGTGGCTGGTGGGTCAGAACGGGCAACCTGTCACTTAGCAGCGGAGTGATGCCAGGGACCTGTCAGGGCGCACCATAGGTGCCCAGCACGACTTGCTGAGTGACCGGCTGGGTGAGCAAGCAGGCCTTTGGGCTAGGTCTGCTGATGGCGGGTTCTTTCAAGCCTGCACTCCTCTCCCAGCCCAGAGGCCCGCCCCATCTCCCAGCCCAAGGCAGCCCAGGCAGCGCCCTTGTTTCTGAGTCCTGACTCGTTCTGAGCCCGAAGACGAGGTCAGCTGAAGGGCCTCCACCATGCTCCCTTTGACGCACCAGGCCGTCCACTGCTGAGACACCACCTCAAGGGCCGGTGGTGTGGAGCGAGCGGAGCAGCGTGTGTTTGTCTTGGCCGATGTCTGCAGCCGATTCCACCACGGCCGAGCTGGAGGAGACAGCGAGCAGGGCCTCTGAGGGGGAGGGAGGAGGAGGTGGCCTCTGGACTCCTGGTTCCTGTTGGGCGCCCAGCCCACTGCACAGTGGGGTTCTCCGACTCTGAGGCTGCAAAGGTACCTGGGATTGTGTAGGACCCGAGCGTGCCTTCTGCTGGTACTCCTCACCCACTCAGACACCTGCACCCCCACGGCCTGGCTCCAAAGAAAGCCCGAGTGGTCCAGGTCCTGGCCCTGCCCCACCCCACCAGCCCTGTGGTTCTTGGGCTGCCTCCCCTGGGGTCGATGTGGACCCTCCCATGTCTCGCTCCGCCCAGAGGCTGGGGGTCACATGTCCCGCAGCTGAAGGCCTCCACCATCTGCTGAGGCCCCAGTAATTATCCGAAGGCCCAGACAGTCTAGCTCGGAGGGGAGAGTTCACACCGCCTGTAATGTAACCCAGGCCTGGGCGGCTCTGGCAGGGGGTCCCCAGCTGCGTAATGAGCCAGCTGCCTTATTGAATTCCCGGCTCAGGGTCTGACTAATCACCCATGGAGGGGCCTGGGCTTTCTGCAAACCTCTCTGAGCTCCCTGCTGCTGAATCCCTGGGCACTCACTTCCCCCAGCACCCCAGTTCCTGCTCC